TCTAGATGAAAACGGATCATCGAACAAAACGAATCATATTTTAACTAAATCCGATCATTGTAACACTTTTTATAAAGCATTGAATGAAGAGCTAAAAAGCGGAAGGGAGATATTTGACAACCTTATATATGCTCAGTGGTCTGTATCATATAATTTCGATGTAATTGAAGTCCTTGTAAAGATGGATATTCGTACTAAGAGACCGAGACTCGATAGTGACGGTGTAAGTATATAAAAAACGATAAATATTTTTTCATGAAAAATTGCATGGGACACAATAATATGGCGTTTACGCTTATTCAAATATGAGAACATGAGATCTACTATTCACCCCAGGGAGTCGATTCTCAACTTTGCCCTTTTCCCGATCTCAGATTTGGTAACACAAAGTTGCCCATCTAGAACGGTATATTTACAATTTTTTTTACAGTTTAGATATATTGAGATGCCTCAAATAGTGTTCGCCATTTTAGATCCGCCATTTCCAGTTTCGAAATATAAACATCTTTATACATATATACACAACATGGAGCTCTTCCAAAGTTAAGTGTATTTCTGAGTCCGGGTGGCTCTTTTGCTGAAATCATAGTTGTGTGCGAAGATAGTACACTTTCCCCTGCTTGAAATTGCGATACAGTGTTCCGATTGGCATGAAATTTTAGAACAAAATCAGATATACACATAACCCCTTGAAATATGACACATAAAAAGCAAAATGAGATTATGCGCTTCCGATAACTATTTATTTTTCTCATCATTATCAATTTAGTTGGAGGCTCCTCGTGAAGTTACAGTGAGTTCTGCGTCGATCTCTACAGTACCCATTCATAAATATTACACTGAATCTATTGTCATTGAATTAACTGCTGATAACATAGACTCAATTGTTGGCCTTCAAAGCAAGATCTGGATTTTTTGCGATACCTTCAAGTCTCCTTCATCCGGACCACGAAATTTAAAATTCCAATGAGCTTGGTTGCAGAAATACGCTTGGTTAGCTTATTCATCCAAAGATAATGGGACCTTCCGTAAATGCTGAGTGATTTTTTCTGTAAAAGTAGGAGAAGTTGGAAATCAATTATTGGGTCAGTTAGTATTGAAACCATTCAACAATTTTTGTATCAGAATTTTTCGCTGTAAAAGGAGATAATTTTACGCCTCAGAGTTTGCAGTTTCAGACAAGTTAGAGAACATTTAAATTTATGTTGTATGGGTAAATCTATTCAACAAAATATGTATATCTAATGAAAATAATTAAATGGAAGCAAAAAAAAAAAATTTAGAAAATTTCCTAAACTCCTCCCAAAATCAACTCCTGCGCACGGCCCTGAGCTCTAGTATATGTATATAAATAAATGTTTTTTGACTAAAATTACACTAAAATTATCAATCGAATTTCAATTTAAAAATATATGTAAGCACACAGAATTTTTGTCATAATCATTTTTCACAGCTAATTTTACCGATTTTCTAAAATTCAGAATTTTAATAAATAAGTAAAAAATAATAACTGCAGCGCTTTAAAATGAACTGTTAAAATTTATTACACTTATGATTTGCAATATGTACATATGTATGTATGTATGTATGTATGTATGTATGTATGTATGTATGTATGTATAACATAATATAATATATGCATATATATGAGCTTGGCTGTACAGTCTTTGATGATAGTGTTTTGAAATTTATTTACTAGTATGTGTGTATGTATCTGAAACTGGCTCAGGACGTGCAGTGTCAACTGTTTCATTGTCAAATTATTATATTTTATGGCCCATATCAAGTAAACAGAAAGCACAAAAAAGAGACAAAATAATAAAAGTACGATAATTCGAACATGGAAAATTAGTTAATCGTTACAAAAAAAAACTCTCAATGCCGAAAACTTTTGGCACCGGCGCTGGCACTGAGCGGTGTGTAGCACCAACTTAGCAAAGGGTCAGGCAACGCTAACAGCGGGCAACAGTCGTCATTAACGTGTAGATAAGTTATTGCTATAACAAATAGCAACTAATCTACATAGGACCAACGCCAAAGACTCACGAACGGGCAAACAAAATAGAAAAACCATAAAATAGAAAACAAAGAAACGGCAGCTTATAAAAAATGTCGCTGATTTGAAGCCAGTTTAATTACAATATCTTCGTTTTTTCATAATGGTTGAATAGTTTATGCTGGTAAATGAGAAACAAAATAAAACAGACAGTTGCGTTACTTGTGGCTATTTGGTGTTTTGGGTGTTGGTATTTAATAGCCAGCGGCAGCCGATCGAGTTCGCCTGTCTGTCTGTCTTCGTTTACGAAATTAAAGCGGTGCCACGTTAATCGGTGCCAAAGCTTTGTGAGAAAGAAGCACCACTTGTTGAGGTGGAAACAACGGCCCCAGCAGCAGGAGGCAAATGTTTGATAGCAGCATTGTCGCAGTGACGGCGTGGCGGTGCGGTGGGTTTCAGGAAATTGTTTTTAATTAAGTTTGTTAATTCGTTGCCATTAAGTTGATGTTAACAATTTTATTGATTTGCAACTAAAGAACTATGCGCATAGAGAGCTTGAACATTTATTTTCAACGCATTTTGAAAAATGCCCATTTTAAATGTTCGTTTGAGATTCAGAAATCGACGACTTTAATCTGTTGGCTACAATTTGGACGCTTTATCTTTAATTTTGTCAATTTTGTGTTTTCCAACGGATGGCTTGTGGAAGGCACCTTAGTACCTACCTGTCGCATTGTACTATTTTTGATTTTATTTTATTGTGATATCCAGCTAAGATAGGTATATAAATGTACGTATATACATATGTATGTATACATGGGTTAGAGCTTTCACTCGTTAATAGATAGTTTTGCTCCAGCGTTACCGGAATGTGTTTCATATCTCTTGTCCGCATTGATTTCATAAATTTTTTAACTTTGATCAGTTGTAAATGTAATTAATTATTTTCCCCATGAATGATAGTACAAACCACATACATGGATTAATTTCCATTTAAAATTAGTATTGGAAACTAAATCAGTCAAATACTAACTGTGTCCAGAGGAAACAATGCGTAAGTAAGTCCCAAACTCATTTACCGCCTTACGCTAGTATACTCGTACATATGTATTTGAAGTTGAAAATTGTTCTAAATTGTTTAATAATTCTGTTTGCGACGCCCATTATAATTTGCTTAGTTTTATTTGAAATGTTTTAATGATATATTATTTGTTGAAGGATATTAATTCAACAACATTTTGGAACCGCGCTGCTTATCACATTCCTTCATATGGTACAATATATATACATTTGATTTTATTTCTATATATACATACATTCGGAAGGCCCAGGGTTCATATGTATATATATACAATATATATATATAGATATATAATTTACGATCATTTCATTTTTCAGTCATTTTATCGTGTAATTTTATTTAAGCCTCGACTGTGCTTTGTGAAAATATTGTTTTTGTTCGAATGCCTAATTGTCGCCATTACTCTTTATACCTAAGTTGACCTAATTGTAACTTATTATGTTATTTTACTATTCACTAATTCATTTGCTTTTTTATGCAAGCATTGAGAGAGCATAACTCACCCGATCAGCGACTTGTGAGTAAAAAGTACGCGTTTAAAGTATAATCTTCCGTAGTACCACAGCAATTAAACAACAGTAGACATTCTTGGCTCTGAATCTGTTGGTATTGACGAAAGTTTATACCAAGCGTCAAGAAATAAACGCCCATTCTGGACCCGAAAAAATATTAACAATGTTTGATAGGTTGAATCCGAATATTTAATCCATTGTACTAGATGCCCATATGCCCTGGATCCCGAAATTTGTTTTTAATGCAAGCAGAGCAAAGCTGAACAGGTGCACTTTTCTTTGCGGTTTAATATTTGAGAACTTCTTCAAAGCGCTCGATAATGAAGAACCGGCTTTTTAGTACTTAATCAAGTTTAAGTTTAATCCCAAAATTAAAGATCGAATATTTGATGGACCGGATATCTACACTCTCATCTGTTCGTTGAACAGAGAATCTCTGCAATACATTCCCATCTTCGGTTTTCCCCGAAAATTTGAGCGATGCGAGCGACGAACAAGGAGAGCGGCTACACCAAGGTCTAGCCAACATCGAAAGGCAATACCAAGAATTATGCGATGAAGTCATAATAAGCGACTACTGTTCAACTGTTGAACTCTAATACATATGCCAAGCAATAAAAAAGATTGAAGTACTGAATCTTCATTTCTGATTTGCTATTCTCAATTTAATAATATCATCTTTAATTTTCAAATATTCTAAGAAATTAAGTTTTTGACTTTATTAAAAACTGTAACCAATCTTGAAAAACTTAATGAAATTTCAGAGTTAGCATAATTTATCACTTAACTTTTGTAAATCTATTATTATTTTTTATTTTTGAAAATGGTGCAAGTTCATTTGTTTAAAATTTGATATTTTGCGTATAACATTTTAATGTGCTACGGAAAAAAAAAAAAATATTAAAAAAAAAAAAATTATATATTTAATATATTTTCTCAACAATTAGGAAACAGTTTGGCCGAAAATTCCTATTGGAAGCTATTGTATACACTTTCACCATTCATCACTCTCTACCAAAAACTTTCGAGTGTTCTCACTGCCAAAAAAGGGTTGCTGTTTGTTTACACATGTGCAATATTGTATGTAGATATACCAGAGAACTTAAAATATACGTTCTCTGAATATAGTGCGCTTGTCCTTGCGGTGGTGTTCCTTTCTGTATTCACCACTTTCGGTATTGGGTTTGTGTCGCAGCTAAAGGGAAGTGAAAGTCACCATAATGTGTGAAAAATATACAAATATATGTTTACTTTAGGACATACTTATGTACTCGTACCTACGAAAGTATCCATGTGTATGTACATCGCTTCCGGTTATGCGAATAAATTCTCCATATAAAATTCTCATCTATAAAAAAATCGAAAAAGCGGAATTATAAGGGAATTCATGCTGCTGTCTTCCGGAACAATATTTTGCTCATATAATATGTAGACTAGGGATCATTGGAAAAATGGTGTATTTATTGCTTTTTACTATTATCGTTGTAAATAAAGCTCAAATCATTGTTTAAAATGGGCATTGTTAATAATTTTGCTAACATTTTTTGGACTTCAGTTGTAAACTTATTTCCTTTAAAGTGCAAAGCACAGAGGCTTAACAAAAAATTTAGCGATTCGAAATGCAGTTTAGAGATAGACTTTCTGATTAAAAATTATATTTAGTTAGAATACCGAAACGAATTTACCCAATCTGCAATACATGTAAATATGTACACACTGATGCATATACATATGTACATACATATGTGTTTAAGTGTCTCACAATTGAATGTGATTTAGATGGTGATGGCAAGAAGTTGAATCCTGTCCTACATCCGTTCGCTGTTAAACTTCCGTTGTAGTTTCTGAGTCGATTTGTGCGTGACTTCTGATTTGTCTTTGAATATATTGCGATTGTTGTCACTTTTGTAGGAATATTTTGACTATGAACTTTTGGTAAATAAATTAAACGCAAGTAACATATAAATATGGAAATAAATTGTCAACAACAAGGAAAAAAACGCATAGAATGGGTTAAATGGCTTTTGATGTCGCTGTGACACGATGACCTTTTAGACTTCGATTTTTTATGGAGTGGGAAAATGAGTGAAATAAACGTGAAAGATATAAAAAAAATGTTGGTAAAATAGGTCTACATCAAAGCCAGCGCTAAAACATATCCATATAAATTCATTATATTCGTATGTATGTATGTTCATGTATAAATAAAATGAGCAGCGTTGGAGTTGTATGCTCCGACGTTACGCGATAATAATATGCACCCCTTTCACGTTCGAATTCGAGCAACTGCGTTCCATAGCTGACTATTTTTTGTTACATACACACATATATGTATTTCTTACACCCGGCTGCCCTTCGAATGGGTATATTGACTGTGTTCACTTATTGGTTTCTGGAAAAAACCATCCACTTGACGTTGCTATTTTTTTTTTTATAAAACATCGATATTTATTTTTATATTAGGTCGAATTAAATGAACGGGTTTAAAGCTTCAGTAGTGGAGTCCTCTTTCGATAAACAAATACCAAGGTTTCGCGAAATGTTTTGCAGAAGGTTTATGGTCCTCTGCGTATTCTTCTGCGGCAACGCTGTCCATGTCGTCTCAATGGCCGAGAACACATCTCTTGAACGCCAAATGGCTAACAGAAGAAACGATTAGCATACTATCGCTAATTCGGCTATAATCGGGTAAGCGATATCCACGCCAACTAAGAAGAGGAAGAAGAAGAATATTAGATAAGTACTCAACGATTTCGGTTTAACGGAGGAAGGTTTTTCAAGTAAAATATGAGCTAAGCCAGGTTTTTAATACTTTAAATAAGGAATATTAGTTCCTTTTTTGATGGAATCATCATCTTTAGAAGAGTGAATCTTTTTTTTTTCATTTTTATTAACAACGAAAGAGAGATCTATTATCTATCTACAACAGAAGCCAACTATTTGTTCTTAGTTGCGGAAATATATGCAATTATAAATAAAATATGATTGGTTCCTAACTGCTTGAACTATTTTTGGCCGAACTTTCCATCCGATTTATCCTCCGTCCAGTTACACCCACTGCGAACAACTCGGTTTTAGCGGTCGCCAGACTTCGATATGAGTAAAAATTAAATCTAACAATAAATATTTGGTTGAGGCCGAGCTTTGGTTTTTCTTACTTTTGACCGAAAGCGCAGTGAATGCGACGGTGTTGATTGTTTTCAAACAGACAATAAATGCACTTTCGCTTCATAATTCACTTCATTTTTACATACATAATACCGTATGTATTTGTTGCTATGGCCTTTGACAATTTTATGCTGTTTACTGTATCGACAGGAGTAAGTATGCATGTTTCTTCTTATATGTACAAAGTGAACTGTATAAGCGTTGGAGCTCATGTTTTCCTATTTACTTACATATATTATATGTTTATTTATATATGTAGATATGTATGCAGTTTGTGCGCTACTTAACTTTGTGGTGTATTAAACTTTTTATCCTGTAAATTAATTTATTTCGTTTATGATTTTGGCTTCACATATTTGTACGTCGAGCGTCATGCCATCTTGTTTCGCTTCGTCCATGACTGTACTGAAGACTCAGGAATATTATTACAACATTATGAAATACATGTATACATATGTAGGAATGTATATACACGCACTCCGTAAAGCGGAAGTATTGTGCGCTCGCATCCTGACCCTTTTTCACGTTGCCGATATGCAAATGATTTTCATTTCCTCTGCGGCATTATCCACGTGATAAAGATTTATTGCTTGATCGTATAAAACAATTAGTTCAGATATCGATTTGCATTAATTTATGTATCTTAGTTTATTGATTTCTACTTTCGAACATATCAAGCAAGATAACATGCGACTTCGACTGCTGGGATTTGCAGAGCTACACAAGCTGAAAAGGCTCGAATTATACGATTTATGTGAAATATGCACCGTTTTTGCCATTTTAAAGGTAATGCTATTATGCTTCTATCACAAAAATCCTTGTCCCAATTGGAATCGGAAAGCTGGGACAATCTATTTTCTTAGGCTTCCCACCATCCAAATCATTTGCTATTGAAATTAACAGTTGCCAATCATTTAGTTCGAGGTCCGAACTATACGGTGGACGCATAAGCTCTTCCCAACCAAGCCCTTGGAGGTTCTGGCGAGTGACTATTCTTCCTTTCAGGCCGTCAATCCTTTCTTGGATATCGTTTGTGACGACTCCCTGCCCTTTGACCACGACAGCTTTCATTTCTCGTTGATCTTAGTTGTAAAGTTTTTATCAATGGCCACTATTCGCTCCAGAAATCGATCGGAATTTTAGAATAAAGCGTTTTTTTCTACTTACGTGTCCATCTCTAACATCCGCTAAGATCATTACAAAATATCGCCTTTCTAATCTGGCTTAATCCAATTATTCTTATAGAACGCGAAATACAGACCCATTTATTAAAAAAATTGCTATTTGATGACTTGTTACTTAACCTAATTTGTCATATAAACATTATTGAAAAAAAGAATACAAATTACTGACGATCCTTTATTTTACAAAAAAAAAAAAATCATATATCTAAAAATTTAAAGAAAAGTCGTAATTTCTTGTCATATTGTAGCTCATAGGAATATAACGTTTTTGAAAAATATATTTTCAAATATAGGAAAATATTATGAAACTATGTACATAAAAATCTTTACACATTAATTAATTAAAACTATTTTATATTGGAACTATCTATTATTTTGATCTTCCACGAATTTTAGACGGGAATTGGTACTGAAAAGGAATAATAATGATTAATGATAATATAGTTTTTTTTTTATTTCAGTATTTAGTATTTCAAAATTATTTGCAGGAATTTTTCGCTATGAAAAATATTGGCGTATTTTGAATGAGCACCGAAGATTGGAAGACTAACTGCTATCCCTAAATTAAAGCGTTGAGCGCCAAATATCTGTCAAAAGTCCTCATGTTCATATCTACGATTTGTATGAGACATCCCACAATAATGCGGCATCAACGTTGAACAAATGAATTTTCAATTTTGACAGCGCGTTATATGATAAAGTGCGAAATAAAGGAGAAAAAACTGACGAAGAGTAATAGGCAATAGCTTGCAAATGAAATGATAAATATTCCCGGAAAAATTTATTCAACTGGTGGAGGCACAATTTAATTCTTTATGATCACCATTTTATGGCAATGCCCATGAGGCCTGAACGAATTATTTCACCAATTACTCATGTTGTCATACCACAGACATGTCGAAGGTCATAATAATCACTAATTAATTTTTAAGACCAATAATTCGCTAACGATTTTTGCTAATGAATACTTTGAAACAACAAAATGAACTTTTCATTGCGATAAAAGTATTGAACAAACTAGTGTTGAAACTAGTTGAATTGAGTGGAGTGTGAGTTTTCAAGGGGTTTTTTTTTTAACGAAAACTGGTTTTTGATATTTTTTCGTCTTGCAGATTTTCAAGAACGGAATTACACATTTTAGAGTGGATTTTGCGTACTTAAGCCTTTCATTGATCCTCTGTCACGTTGTTCAACCAGGCGAGGATTGACAAAGAAAAGAAGAACTAGATTTAGCCGGAAAAAGCTATAACGGCAACACTGGTGGCTCGGTAATGAGACCAGTCTCCAAATTATCGGCACGAAAAGTCAACCACTTTGGGTATATTTCTGACATGAAATCAGAGCAACTCATAAACAAATCCATTAACCGATCCGAGGCGGCTAAAAATGAACTTTAGGCTCCTTCATTTATTGGGAAAACATCAAGTCCTACAACATCATTTTAATTTATTACACCGTAAAGAACATCTTTTGGCAATAATTCAGCGTAAGCCGCAGGTAATATGGATTTTTCGCGGTTTTGTGCTTTTTCTTTAGTGATATTTTGCGCTTTGGAAGTATCTTCGTCGCTTCCAAAAACGGTAAAGCTACAACACTTAGCCTAAAATGAATGCCTATAAAACTGTGAACTCTTTGTAAGGATATTGCAATGATTAAAACAGACTAAAAATGTAATTTCAAAAATTAAAAATTTATTTAGAGATTTTAATAACATTTTAACTAATTATTTTATCTATTCGCATTAAGTGTTTCTAAACAATTTTATATGTATAGCACATGTCATAACATATCATGCACACCTGGCCACTTTCTTTCTCTTTCTTCGGCTCTCATTTGCCACGTTCGACGATTATTGATTAAAAATTCCTGCGCGTGCGTTTTACAGACGAACCATCTACCAATATGGTTAATGCCATCTGCGCAGCCGCATCGATAGAGAGCATGCAACGCAGAGATAAATTGCCGCAAAAAGCGATCTAATTTGCATATTTTGCGATGCCATCGACAGTTCAGTGAGCGATCCCTTGCTTGCAGCCCAATGAGGCGCACAAAATCGTTTTTAACCCATTAAATACATAATATAAAAAATTAGAATCCATATGTGCTTGTGCATGCATATAAACATTATGCATGTGTATATGCTTGCGCTTGGCTCTGTGCTCATTTAATGTTGCGCAGCTCTGCCAATTCACCAATTCACATCCTTCAACGCGAGTAATTCTGACACATATAAATGCCGAATCACTTTTAAAATTTATTTTTTCTGGCGCGTCATTTCACAAAAGTGCAAACTAAAAGAAAAAAAAAATATTGCAAAAAGGCGCAACTGATTTGCATATTGCAATTGTAAATGGGCTGGCTTTATTCTCTGCCCTTTTTGTGTGATTTGTGCCCTGTTTAACTGGTAGAAGGGTAAGCACAGGCAAGCTGTTGGAAAGTGAAAGCGTTTTGTTCGGTTCTGGAAAGAAAGTAAAAGTAACGAGCATTTTTTGCAAATTCGAAAATATATGCAAAATCATTTTACACGTGCAGCTTACCTTGGCGCTCACCGCAACATCTTAAGGGTGTGGCGCGTTGTTCTTCCTTAGCGCCTAATTTGCCTTTAGGCGCTGTCGCAACGGCCGCTGGGCGGTTTAAATGAAAATAAAAAGTGCCTGCTGTAGAGTATCTGGCTTTAGGTGTGCGTATCCCTTCAAGAAAAAGGGGTGAAGCGACGAATTGATGCGCAGGGCCGCGTAGTGCCTGTCTTCTGGTTGTCTTTTCCTGTCTGTTGTAATTTTTTGGCGCGCAAATATTAGCCTTTCAATATTTTACTCAAATTGTTTTGCATTCCTTCTGCGCGGCAGACAAAACGTCTTCTACGGAGCTAAGGCAGGGAGTGGCGGCATGCAAAATCTAAGGACACAAATAACGTCAAGAGGGAGGGCAAAATGCCTAGAAGCAACAATTAAGTTGTATACACTCGTATATATACATGTGCATGTATGTATGTAAGTTCGGAACGGCAACTGGTTGGTTTTGGTGCTTCATTAGCATTGAATAAAAGCAAAAAAAAAAAAAAAAAAAAATAAAAATCGCCTTCTATGAGTATTTTTCTAGTTCACTTTTGTTGTAGTCAAACGAGTTCGAATTGTTGTTATTTTGTGCGGCTTGGTTGCGTTGATGATTTTTTGTTTAACATTTTATGAAAAATGCGACGCAATTAAAACAAGTCGGTCAAATGCTACACAGGAATTTTAATTATTTTTAAATATGTTTTGCTTTATTTATAAATTTTTTTCAGCGCATCAATTTGTTTTGGAGGGAAAAAACTGCATCGGTGTTTGTCGCATTTGCAATGATAGGAATTAATGGATTAAGCTGAATATCGCCATGCTCAACAAATGTTTATAATTGCAAATACTATTGTATATAACCGTATGTATGTATTTACCGTTATGTATACATACTTCAGCTACTTTGCAGTTAATGAACGTTTAATCAAAAACCAATCACTTCGAAGCCCATTCGATACAAAAATTATGATAATGAAAACAACAAACAGTTGTGAGTTGGTGTATTGTATATATGTACATATGTATGTATAATAAAATTATTAACAAAACACTAGTAAATTAATAACACAAGTGAGTTAGCTGCACTGCTCATTTTCATAAAGCGAATACCCTTCGTGAAGTTGCTCAGTGCCCATTGTGTCCTTACCGCATGCACAGGCACAGATAAATACATAATAAATTATAAATATAATGTAATATGCGAAATTCGCAGTCGAAGAATGGCGAGAGCAGACACAGAGTAGACACTGCAGACGCTAGTGCGGTCAATGAGTACCCAAAAAAGCACAAAAATGCTAATCTCACTCATTATCATCGCCATCAACACGCTGCGGCATCTCATCAACGCCAACGCGGCCACCTAAATGAGAGGAGACCGACGTCACTGCCATGTGGTCTTCTGAGCAGTTTTCATTCATAAATTTTTTAGTGTGTAGCTGCAGCGTTGCGGGGCTTTTCAAGTGGCGCACATAATTATGCAACAAGTCCTTGCTGTATATATATATATATACATTTATATGAGTATCTATCTTTGCTCGCGCTGAGGAGCAGCCAGTTTATTTTCATAATTATCATATTTTTTTTTAAGCGTGACGCGTGCGTATTTAGCATAAAATCACATAGCCACAGAGGTGGCATTGGAAAACAGGATTTCTGTTTGACTGTCTGACTAGAAATTAACATAATCGGCGAAACATACATACATATTTGTAAGCATATGCAGACTCATGACAACAGAAAACGAAAATAAAACGCTGGAATAAAATTTTTTTATTGTGGCCCTTTGTCAAGTGCAGTTTAAACCGCGAGCCTTGCTGCCAAATTTACATGTGTTTAGCGACCATCTTGAGTCGAGTCCTTTGATAGCCACAGCCCGAAAAATTAACATACTACAGAATTATTTAAATATGGTTCGGTGACTTGGCATCAATTAGAATAATTATCATATTTATTTGCCACTTTGTTGATAGTGGATCAGTAATTAAGCCTTGTGCATCCTTTTCTGCATTGCTTTATTTTGTTTCTTTTCGAGCAGAGTTTAAAAGTGTGTCAAAAGTTTTGCATAATATTCAAAAAATCTTATTTTTTTTATTGGTTTGTTGCTTTGCATTGATATAAAGGATACTTGCATTGCAAATAAGGATAGCAAGAACTGACCCTACCCAACTTCATTTAAAATGTGCGGAGAAGGGAAATTGAGTTAATTTCACAAACTGACACTTTTTGGTCACACAGCAGGAATATTCAACTTGAAGATTCTAACGGTCCTGCTATATTTGTACAGTATTGATATGCTAACTTTTAAAAACGGTCTGATTTTAGGCATGCAATTTGAAGTATTATTAATAATATTTTATATTATTTTATTTATATTTCAATAATTACTGCAACCCCTTCCACTTTAAAATTTAATAAAGGGTGTTTTTTAGACATTTCGTTTTCAAGAAAAGATAAAATACACATAAATTGATGTTTTTGCCAAGAATTTAGTTTATTATAACGATTAATTATTAAGACGATTGATCAAAATTTTGTTGTAAAAATCTATGTTTCGGCCCATTCATTGACCCTGCGATTCGCTTAATTCATTTCTTGCAGGAGTTGGATTTTGTAAGCCCTCAAACCAAGATGCTTCCGTTAAGTGGATGGCCACAGTTCCAAGTTCGATACTGTATTCCACAGCAGCATTTATCGGTACGCATCGCATGACATCCCTGCGGGTGCACATCATCTGCTAGGGTAAATATAGTGCGAAATTGATCCATGGTTGCTTGAATTATCGAGTCTTCTGCGTGATTATGTCGACGGTGTATTGAATAAGCCGAGCCATTATTTCGTTAAAAAGACCAACTCCGAAAAAAGTATTGCCTCAAAGAAAAGCATCCTTACAAAAAACATTGTTAAATTATTTTTAACTTGAATGTTTGTAAACACGTTGTGATAGAAAATAAATATTTAAAAAAAAAGAAATAATTTTACTTTCTGCGCGCTGCCAAATAGATCGAGCCATGTGGACGTACATACATACATATCTATTTATGTATGTATGCAGGCATGGTATTTGGCCTTAGGCCAATTGAAACGTTTTATCGATGCCATTAAGAAAAAAATGATAACTATTGATATTAGAAATGAAGATATGCGTATGTTATGAAGGTACACGTAGATATTTGAAAGAAGAATTCAAGTGATGTGTCCACCACACCCCAATGAAGTCATTTTTATGCTTAGCCTTTTTACAATTGAAACTGTGTGACACTGTTAAATGGCCAATTTTCTGTCGGTTAACGCAAAGTACATATGTATATACATACACACATGTGTCTTAGCAAAATAATAAGAATCGTCAAAGAAATAACAATTTCTATAGTGTGGATCATAAAGGAATTGTCCGACGGTAACTCCAGCATAACAAGTGTTTTCGAGTCCCATCAAATTTCGTTATTTATTTTCATTTTGTCTTATAACCGATGTGCAAATGCACTGTTATTATTATGCGTTTGTGTGTGTACGTGACAGTTAACATAGGGTATACATCTGTTTATTCTTTGTATTTTAGGTGCCAAAAATTGGAGCACTCGCCCAGTAAACAACAACAAAAAGAATGTAAATTGGAAAGTAATAGAAAATAGCGAATGTCGGGGAAATTGTTTAAAAATCGGTGTATAAAAATTCCTAACAGCAACTGAAAATAATCAATAAAATTAAGTCAAATGTTTTGTTAACCATAAAATGAATTGGAGTTTTTTTTAATACAACGAAAAGAGAATACGAAAGAAAAGAGAAGCCGTTAGAACAGTACTTTTACACCTTTTACACTGGATTTTTAATGTTTACATACCCAGAGAGTTGGGTAGAGGAATATTTAATATGATGAATTAGTTTTGTGTTAAAAAATATGTTAATAAATATGCGTGTTTTTTTTCAAAAACTGGTGGTTCTTTTTTTTTGTACCATCGAAAGACAAAAGTCAGTAAATACATTTGAATAGGCTGTGAATCACCACACTGGTTGGCCGAAATGCTTTTATCTTGTGTCCCCTGGTTTTTTTTTTTAAAGAATTCACGGCATTTTTTTTTTTAATTTTTAAATCCTATGCTTATTGGAAAAATGATAGCGCACAAATTAATTTAATTTATTTATATTAGGTGCAAATATACACAGATTTTTCTAAGTCCGCCGGCGGTAAATTTAAAATTATCTTCCGTTATTTCACTTTACAATACTTTTTTAATTATTAGCAAGATTTCTATGAATTTATTGAAAATGCATTTCGTATTACTGGATAGAAAATTTACGTGTGTTTAAAAATTTCTGATGAATATTTGTTAGCAACGACAATAAGACTTTGATGACTCGATTGCGTCTATTCCAACAAATAAAATTATACACACACACATGCAAAATTATGTTTGTACTAAAATTTGTGAGTTCAGATGTAAAATAGTAAATGTTTCAGTAACAGCTTTGAATATGCACAGTATTCATTGCCACGATCAGCTGGCTGTCTATCCAACTGCCTGCTACCGTCTAGTAGTTGGTCTGCCTATCGTCGCCACCCCTGTTTGTCTTTAGCTTCTGCTGTGTGCGCGCAGCTCAGATTGTCATTTGCATGCAAATTTGGTTGGTTGACATTTTTTGCTCATTCCACCTGTCGCTATTGGCACTGGACAAGTATGAAATGGATGATGGCTTATACACAAGCAGATAACTATATACTAAACAAAAAAGTACATATGTACATATGAATGTTCACGTGTTTATAGAATTAAAAAATTTATATATAATACATATATATTTAAATAGTTTTGAGGGAAAATACATAACAGCTATTCCTTAAATTTCGACAGTTAAAAATCACCTATGAGTGTATGATTACATACTATATGCCTCTATTTACCAGAAATAAAAAGAAATAAATAGGGTACGGCCGTTTTTGTGCCTTGAATACTGCCAGGACTTTTTGTACTCATACCGATAGAAGAGAGATTGTCACCAACATCATTAGCACATCCGTAAATAAGTAAACTGTCAGTAACGATTAACTCTAATTTGCGTGCACAGACGCCCACCCAAAAGCCATCGCAGTCAGTTCAAGGCAACCGAAACGGTCTCGTGGTGGCGACGCTTTCACCGCGGAACAAATTCAAAAAATATCCTAATATCCAGTGTGACAAACTGACGTGCATTCATAGATGTATTTGTGAGTAACTTCGTACATAGACGTATGTATGTACAACTTGTTATATTGTGCAGAGCGTTAAGGTGCGTTTTAAAGTTATTGAAGCCTATGTGAAGTCTCCCACTCAATAGGTAACAGCTGAGAATGCCGTCGTTGATAGAGCTTTTGTGAGAGAGGTCGTTGCCATGAGCGCCGCCCATTTTCATTGAAATCCATTGTGGCAAGTAGATACGAGAAATGAAATTTTAACTCAACTGAAAGGAAAAGTTAGGCTGTCCATTTAGCATTTTAGCCTCTCAGTCCACCCATTTTCACACTTGGTGACACTGCTTGCTAATCGGTAAGACTTTATTTTCTTATATGTATGGCTTGACATGCAAATGCAACAAATTTAAAAGCTGCCCCTGTTGCACTTCACAGCTTAGACATAATGGTACCGGTTGATTGTAGGAAGCTTGCGAGCAGCGAAAGCAAAAGGCTTGTTCTATCAGTTGGTGCACGGTTCTATTTTACCTGATAGTAAGCGAACGTATGGAGGTTATACAAGGACTGACTGCTCCCGCTGATTGTGGCGATTTGAATTTTTTAGCCCGGAAGTGTAGGTTGCATGGAATTTCTGGAACGCCAAATTGCTTTCCCTGAGGCGACAGCAGTAAAATGGAATTGGGAACTATGCGTGAAAACTCAATGTTGGGGAGAAAATGATGGGGGAACTACGAACAGGCCGGCAGAAGAAGACCGCTAATTCAGTAGCAGAAGAATACGCAGTGGACAGTTGGAAATATTGTATGTAATTTCTGGTAGGCGTTCCATTGGAATTTCAAACAGTACGTACATATAACTAAACATGTTGTTATTGGGTTGGCTCTGTCTTAACAATATTTGCCCTCGCAGTCTAACGCGGCAGCAAAAATGGTGAATGAGCGCGAAACGCAAATACTCTTTCCCAATATTCATTGACGTATATTCGCGGTTGCTCCTGTGGTTTCTCTTTGTTCAACTTTAAGTGGCAAATACTCTCAAGCATACGCATTCATAGAACATGTTGAAGACTGAGAAATAGTAGGAGTATTTATTTGTTTTGCTTTTCTGCCAAAAGCCGACTAACCAAATAAAAATCGTATTCTTTCATTCACTCCTTAGAGTTGCTCTAATATTGTGTTGCTACATTCGCTATAAGAGTGCCATGTTGAAATGCTTTGTCGCTGTTGTTGCTGCAGACATTAGCTTGCTTGTTGTTGTGTTTCGCTTCCTGTACACTTCTTTGCTTTCCTGCTGATAAAACCCATCTACACCTATATTTTTACTCTTCTACCTTTACTCAGCCAACCTTCGGAGATTTTATTGCGTGCTCTTTCGCACATATGTTAAGAGCAGCAATACACAATACCACAACTGGTCGCCTTCACTTCTTCGCGATTCCGCTTTTGCTTCGTGTGTGCACACTCACTCGTCCATTGTGACTGCGTTTCGTGCGCTTCGTTTATGTGCTGACTCGTTAACCGGAGTGCCAGCCACTGCTTACTACGCTGGTGGTTTGCTGACTGGCGTCGCATTTATCGATGGCTGTGCCTGTGACTGAGCGAGCGCTGCCTGTTTGCGCCGTCGTTGTATCGTTGTGTGGAGGTTGCTTGACGCCATTCGTAGTAACCTTTTATTCGTAACGTTGTGTGCACTGTGCTGCCTGAGTGGAGTGCTTGTGTGTGTTTGTTTGGCGCTGCCGCACGCTGCTCTCCGGTACCTTCGGTCGCCGATGAATGACGTTAGTTCACTTCGATAGCTCTATGAGTTTACACGTAAAAATCTTTAGTCTTCGCGTGTTTGAAGCGTACAAATTAGAATAAGCAAAGTAAAAACAGCTTTCTTCCGGACCGTAGTCAGTTAGACGTCTAACTAAGCAAGTTAGTTGATGTTAAAAACGAGCAACGGTTTTTTTATGTTACATTAATAAGCGGAACACGTCAAGGCTTACGAAAACATAATTTTATTAAAGTATCTTGGTGTCGCGATCACGATAGCTAACGGTATTTTTGTGCGGAGTGCGGTTACAAAAACTCTGTAGAAGTGCAAAATAATATAGCCGGTGTCTATTTCCGTGAGCAATAATTTGCGCAACAAAGAAAAAAATAAATAATCAAAAAATAGTGACAAATTATTAGAAAAAAACCGCTTGAAAGAAGTTTATCACCGTCATACGTGTATGTAGAATGTGTGGGCGAGTTAATGACTGGAAGGCAGTTCAAAAGTGAATAGTGATTACAGAGTTTTTAACAAATTTTGAAGTCCATAATACAAACTAAAGTATCAAAACCAATAGGATAAAAAGCATAAATTACTTGCATAACCCCAAGTGTCAATTTTTGATACCCGCTCGCTAGTCAACTAATCGTTTCCAAATTACTTAAAACTAAGCAACTCAAACTTGTAGTAGCCGACGGCTAATTGAATATTGAGCATTGTACAACTTGTTGCGTAGCAACTGCAAATACTCGATCATCAGAGAGTGGCAAGTGTGTATATATTAAAATATATATACCGTTAAATAAATTGATATTCTATTCTACTGTGCGTTGAGCAGCCATTGTGAGCTGCTCCCAATAAGTCGTCGTCATCGAATTCTCGCCTCTGTACGTTGAACACAAAGACTTCAAGACGGTTGCCTCACGGTTCGAGTGGAATGAGCATAGGGACACTGGTCTTCCTTTTGATAGATCGGTTTTCAAGGTCGTTAAACTGAGCCCCAACTTGGAGCCCTACCCCGCCAGCGTGGAGGGCTTGAACAGCCCTAGAGCGGTGGGGATGGCCGCCACCTCATATATGACACCTTCCAGCGGTGATCTAGACATGGCGTTGGGTGGCGGTGGTTATCATACCTCATCGCCACGATCTGCCGCAGATGCTGGAGAAATGAAATATATGCAACATCACCATCATCATGCCGCTGCTGCTGCTGCCCACCATCAGCTACCTTCATCTCCCAGTCCGAATGCTGTAGTTGGTGGAGCGGGCGGTGGGGGTACAGGTGGTGGAGGAGGCTTGGGTGTCTCGGCGACTGGACTTAGTTCAATTACACCCACCGGCGGCTTGGGCTCAAATCCTTGGACTGCGTTACATCCCTCAGATCCATGGGCATCAATGACACATCATACACACCATCATCCCGCAGATGCCGTGAAGCAAGAGATGTCACATTTGTCGCAGCAGTCACGCGTTCAACAAGGTATGGCATCTCCTCATACATGGCACGCACCAGTTCATACTGCCCATTACGCTCCAACGGGAGGCTCGCCATTGCAATATCATCACGCTATGAACGGAATGCTCCATCATCCTGCTCATCCAGCGCATCATCAAGGTGTTGCGCCACTGCATCACGCATTACGGGGCGAGTCACCGCAACTTCATATACATCCTCACCATTTGCAAGGCGATCGTGATGTATCGGGCGGCGAAGAAGATACGCCCACCTCAGATGACTTGGAAGCGTTTGCAAAACAGTTTAAACAACGTCGCATAAAACTCGGTTTTACACAAGCGGATGTGGGACTTGCGCTTGGAACTCTATATGGCAACGTTTTTTCACAAACAACAATCTGCCGATTTGAGGCTCTACAGTTAAGTTTCAAAAATATGTGCAAATTAAAGCCGCTACTACAAAAATGGCTAGAAGAGGCTGATTCCACCACTGGCTCACCAACGAGCATAGATAAGATTGCAGCGCAAGGTCGCAAGCGAAAGAAACGAACAAGCATAGAAGTAAGCGTAAAAGGTGCACTAGAGCAGCATTTTCATAAACAACCGAAGCCATCGGCCCAAGAGATCACTTCGCTAGCAGACTCACTGCAATTAGAGAAAGAGGTTGTGCGGGTTTGGTTTTGCAATCGTCGGCAAAAGGAGAAGCGCATGACGCCGCCAAATACAATGGGAGGTGATATGATGGATGGAATGCCGCCAGGTCATATGCACCCCCATGGTGGATACCATTCACACCACGATATGCACGGAAGCCCAATGGGTACTCATAGCCATAGTCATAGCCCGCCAATGCTTAGCCCACAAAACATGCAGTCTGCGACGGGGCATCAGTTGGCGGCTCACTAGCAATCAGAAATCCAGGAGTCGAACTCAGCTGCAGCTGTGTCCACTCCTGCATCGCTGCATCAGCAGCAACAACAACAACATCAGCAGCAACAGCACCAGCCACATAATCAACACGCGCCCAATACGCCGTCCTCGTCGGGTGGCTCCTCAGCGACGATGACCACCAATGTGCTGTCGCCGCAATCGCCCATCGGTGCGGGCTTAGCTGCCAATAATAACAATAATAATAACAATAACAACAATAATAATAATAATGAGAGCGATCACTTGACACAAGTGAAGCAACAGCAGCAACAACAAGCGTCATCAATAGCGGCCGCTGCAGCCGCCGCTATGTACATCGATCCGATGCGCTACCAACACCACCATCCGCACCAACATCCACACCTCAACCCCGCGCACCATCCACACCTCTTCCACACCAGCGATCAACAACATCCAGCGCTACAGCATCCAGCCGCCCATCATCAACATCTGCAACAACCACAAACGTCGCCAGGAGCAGGCAGTAGTAGCGGTGCCCTCCAAGCGCCATCCTCATCACCCTCCTCGGCGTCGTCGGTATTGGGCAGTGCGGCTGGTATGCATCATCTTAACTTAAATCCACATTCCCTACATCAACATCACCACCATCACCAGCAGCAGCACCACCATCAGCAACAACAACAACAATTGCATGCCCGTCGTCTTTTCGAATGGAGTTTGCAATTCGGCGCCGCAGCACCAGGCGTGAGACACTTCAATTCCTTCGGCGGTGGCGGTGAATAGCATTCGTCCGCCGCAGCGGCAGCGTCAGCCGCCTGGTTTGGATATGAATCGTCTTAAACATATTGGCGAATGCGAATGCGAATGTGACGAGAATCCAACGAACAGGCGGTGCGTTATTTAGCTGCGGCGTGTAGTGAAATCGGATAACTGAAAGTGCAGTGAGAGGGAAACGGAAGTTATATTTATTTACTGAAACAAATTTATTTGTATATACACCATATACAATATATACTCGTACGAGTACATAAAGTTGTAAGGCGCAGGGATCGAAGGACCAACGATCGAGTTATAGAATCAACGGCAACGCTTTTACCCAATAACCACCCACAGACCCGTGGGCTACTGTTGAGAAGCTTGCCAAGTATGCGGACGGTTGTAAGCCATTTGCCAGAGCTATACCAGTGCATTAATCTGTGTTAACTTGAAGTTAGTTAAGTAAATTACCTACGTAAATATGAAATTAAGATCATTACAAAATCAAACAAGTAAAAAAGCAAAAGCAAAAGTACTGTTAGTAGGAACAATTTTTCACTACGGATATATAAAGGTTATATTCAATGGTCCTCTTAGGCTCCCGATATATACAACAACCACAAAGTCGTAAATATAAATTATAAGAATTATTAGAAGTTGAAAGTTTCTAAAACTTGCACATTAATGCAATTAAAATCAAACCAGAAACAAAGTGATGTTTTTAAGAAAAACTAATTAAAAAATAAGAGTTTTGCGTTTATCATGAAAAAGTGTGAAACCACAAAAATATTAAGCATCCAAATTAAATGCAATTCAAGAATTCCGTAGTATGTAGTTTTGTAAATGTAAATGTAAAATGTAAAATGTAAATTTCTTGAAAATGAGGAAAATGAGGAAAATGAGTGCAACCGTGAGAATTCGAATAAAATAGTAATATAAACAATATAGAATAAACAGTAAACTATAAATAATTTATAATAATATAATATGCATCGCAAGTTAATTGTAAACAGAAAACCAATTAAAATGACCAAACAGCTTTGTTTAATTTCACCAATTCCATTGGAATGACGCCAAATGCTCCAAAACAGCCCCTCAAATCAGTGGTCGATTGGTCGATACAATCATGCAAGTAAAAGTCTAAATAGATTAATGTGCCGTCAGAGTAGTTCATCGCTAAAGTGTCGAAAAGTGCACAGCCACCACAATTCTTGACCCGCACCGCGCTAGCTTTGTGACCCACCGTACCCTTTAGCGCCACTCGCAAGAGGCGCAAGCTTGGGGCGAAGGTAAACCTTTCAGATTTTCTATGCTTGGTTTTTTTTTTTTCAAAATTTGTAGGTGGCACACTTTTCGACACTCTTCGCATACAGTTATACAAATAATAATAATTATAATAAATAAACAAAATTAAATTAAAGATATTTGTAAAAGAATTGTAGACCAAAAGTAAGAGTGAAATGAAAGTCGCCTTCGCTTATTACTAATGATGAATCAAAATTCTACATTTACTTATACATACGTATATACACGTACATACATAGATACATATGCATGCGAATAATTGGATATACTGTAATTATTAATACATATATGTACATACAGATGTAATCGACTAAGGATATAATTTTGTTTGCAAGCCAGTGTTTAGTGTAGTAGAAAAAATTAAAATTTTAATTTTCATCTTTATTTTTATAAAATAATTTATTCAAAATGAATGAGTATAATTTATTTGTGATAAATGAAATGGAATATTCCTTTGTGCTTGCTTTTTTTTTACAAATAAATTACAATGTTTATGTATAAATAATAACAAATAAAACTTAGTCATATTATTTCATAAAACATAAATCATTTGATCTATTAAAATTGTCTATTTTAAGTGGGAAGTCAATATTGTTAATTGTAAATTAATTGTAATGTTAAATTAATTTTCTAATAAGTTCAAAAAAGTCGTGTATAAATAAAAAAATATAAATGAGTAAAATAAAATTTCTTTAAATACATTTTAAAAAATATAAAAAAAACTATTTCTTTAATTTAACGTGCAATTGGAGACCGGGGGCCGATCTAAATATTCCGATGTGGATTTAATACATAAATAACCGTGAATGAAATGAAAAACTGGGATTTGGAAAATTTTGACTTCTACACGCGGGTTTTTTAGACTCGTCCGCAAAATTGAACTTCACATTAGATTACTGACAGCCTTGACGTTTTGAAATTTCGGATAATATTCAGAAGCCGAAAATTCTAAATGAAGTCTAATCTTGTAAAACGAATGTTGTAAACTGAAAAGCAACAATATAAAGGTAAATTTCCATACATCCTTTCTTCTTTGTTTCTACATACATACACGTACATACAAACATAATGTGTTTTCGACAGTTTCGTTAGAAAAAATTGATTGTATTTTCTAAGTTATTTAGACTTGCTATGAAGACCGAGTATCATGCAGAGGATATTCGCACACGAGTACATTTTTATGTTTTAAATATATTTATTTTTTAATTAAATTTTTTTTTGACCTTGATGCACAGAAGTTCAAGCGGCTGAGCAAATTATATATAATATATTTGAATGCCCAGCTATTCATGCCAACATAAGGACTGTATACGTATGTATGTATATGGTATGGCTGCATAACTCACAGAAACTAGTAGCCGAACCAACCAAAAACAGATAATACCGCACCATGTAATTGAAAATTTATCACCGATTGAAGCTGCCGTCAGTGGCGCTTGTGCCGTTGAAACTTGCGGCGATCGATTTATTCCATAAAATTGACTCAGCTGATTGTCCTGCTCTCTATTATACAAGGTTGCCAAAAGAAATGAAATTGTAATTAAACTGTAATTCACATATGTTTGATTGGCGTTTGGAAAGTTATGAAATATGCTGATGAAAAATGTAGATTTGTGTAAAAGTCCACATGCATATACATTGGCAGTTGGCAACATTTTGCCTTTGCAAGGTACGGCCATGACTTTTGACATCATATACAAATCTTCCAGTCGGGTGATACGGCTGAGAGATATGTAAAATGTCTGGTTGGGCTTTAAAACCTTAGCAAACGGTATGGACGTCAATATTTTTGTAATGTCTGCGCTTTTGATTTTAACTAATTTGTAATTTAGCGTAAATCATATGCGTTTTTATAACTGTTTCTACTCTTGCTTTAAAGTTAGATAAACTCAGCTTTTGGTCTACAAGTAAATGAAATAAACAATTGAAGGCCCAACAGAAAAATTAAAAAAAAATATAAATAGTTAATAAAATTTATATATTTCAAACCCTGCCTGCGTCACTTTTTAAACATTGAAATCTAAAAATATTAACTATATTTAAATTAATACGGTGCGCTGCACTTTTGTGCAAATAATTAAGTTATTAACCATAAGCAAAGAACATAGATCAATATAACAAATTTTAAATCAATTTTAAAGGGGGTATTGACAAAAAGGCTCAAACAACACTGAATATTGGTATACAAAAATAAACAAAATTAACTAACGGTAGAATATAAGAAATTCATATACTTGTAAAGTGGTAATCTACGGATAGTCATAGTATGAAACAATTGAGTGGTAAATATGATAGATATATGTACATATAAGTGTAAGATAAATAGAACGCCGTTGAGGAGTTAATCAAAGTAAAGAACATAAAATTATTTATTGGGAAAAAGTGTAATTGTAAAACTTGTATTGTAAAAAATTGTAAGTGCGAACTTATTGAAATAAATTAATTTTTTAAACTAAAATATTAAAAAATAGTAGTGACATTATTGTTTTCCTCTAGAAATACATATGCATGTATGTTGCCAATTTAGATTTTTCTTTTAATTTTTTTTATATATAATATTTACATATGAATGTGTTTGCGTTTGAAAACTTCTTTTGTACTTTCAGTACAAATTATTAGTGGTATTCAAATTTTCACTTTATCTTGGAAAGCCAAGTTACACATCTACGAGAACATGTATTAAACGCGCATTGTGAGCATTCAGTCGCACACATACATATACACAATGACAACTGGTACCACCCAAAAAACGAAGGAACGCAGTTCGAGTCGTGCCTGATTCAAGGGGAATCCGCTAAAGCTGATACTCTCGTATGTACTTTTTCAAGCTCGCATCGACGAAGTTTTTTTATTGTTATTTATTTTATTTGTAAAAGAGTGTTTTTTAAGTCAAACTAAATTAAATCATCGCCAAAGATAACAAATATAATATCCTTAAAGGCCTATTCTCACTGTTACCGGTAAAGTAAATTTTGTTACTTTTCTATAACACCCGAAATTGAATTTGGTATTCTGGCGAAATGGTTACAATGTTTGAAAAAAATTTGGCAGTACTGCTTTTTTCGTCCATGTCAAATTACATTTGCCAGTTGATAAAGTAAAAAAGAAAAATATTCACATCGAAATGGAAGAAGGTGCACAAAAAAATTAAAAAGTATTATTAATTTGTTTAATAAACCATAAATATTTGCACCTAGTTATAGAAAATATGCCTGGACAACAAAAATAGCTGAATGAAAACGATATCTTACAAATTAAAGGGTTATTTTTTGTCTCGAAAACATCTTAAAATACGGCGTTTTCGCACTTCTTTCTTCATCTTGAATGAATTCCAGGCCTATAATATGCCTGCCCATTTCAGTTTTTATTTTTTCCCAAACTTACAACACAACATCAAACATCAGATATTTTTGTTACCTCCTATTTTGCTGGTAACAAAATTGACAGGGTAACAGTGAGCTCAGAATACGAAATGGTAACAAAATTTTTATATTTTAGTACCTAGGTAAATTTTGTTACCTCGACAGAATAGGCCTGTTAGTCTAATCTTCTTTACGAAAAAGCTTTTATCAATATCGTTACTTGTAAGCAAAATATCGAGAAATCAATAATCCGATAACAATAATTACATCTATTGGAATACACGCACGGCTTACTAACATTGCAGTTATAAAAAATTATTTTTTTCAATTTAAGAAATTAATTAAAATATACAACCTTCTACATACATACATCTGTCATCGAAACTAAAATTTTGTCTCGCTAGCATTTCTTTCTTCTTATATGAGATTTTATTAACCCAGATTAACCAGCTAAGAATGAGAAATTTGACATTTCGGATTAGAATACTGACAGCGAATCTTATCAAAATCAAAATATATTGCAGCATAGAGCCATCGCGCAACTGTTACTTCAGAATATTATTTAACATTATAACTGTTCTACTTATTTATGCTCCGGTATGTAAGTATACATTTAGGTGCCTTTATTTTTCAAAGTTAGCTTTGCAAAAAATGTAGAAAAATTGAACAAATTCAGAATATTTTCCAGGTTTTGTATCACATATAATTGACGCTTTTTGCAACCGCAGAAGCGATTATCGGTTTTTCATTAGATGAGATCAAAATTCTAGTATATAACTTACTGTTAACATGTTGTCCCATCTACGAGTAAATATGTATATAAAAAAGACAAAACAGGGAAAAGTTTAAATGATTTTCGTTTAGAAGTTATCGTTCCAATGAATATTTATGAAGACGCTTTATAACCGCTTCATAGATTTTTGGGCGACACATTAAACGCCTTGCTCCCTATTAGATCATAAGCCAAAATGTAAAACTACATCTATTATGCGGAGGCTTGTTGGTTCTCGAAGGGACAGTCAACCCGAGTATATTTTTGAGATGAAATACTCGCTATAAAATTTGAACCAGCCGTTTGAAGCTGACTTCAATTGTCGGAAAAGCTCTGCCGAAAATGTCTTCTGCGATTATAAAGCTCCTATCAAATATTTATATAAATAAATCGTAAATTTATTACTGAATTTAATTCTATTTGGGTCACGTAATATATATTTACATTGCATCAGCCAAAATCGGTTCCTGTTTTTGTGCGTTTAAATAATGAGTGTATGTACTTACAGCTCTTAATCAGAAACTAATTATGTCAAAAGAACTTAAAAACGATTTGAAAACAATTACCCGTTTTGTTTTGATTTTGAATCAATTCAATGTCATTCACCATTTATGTATGTACTCCAGCACTCGCAAAGTCTTATTGTATTGTATTATACGTGTATTATCAATATGGTAGATATGTAGATATACGAGCATGTGTAGACAAGTGTAATTCGTACGTACAAGTATGTAGGTTTGTATAATATTTAATCTTGATTTGTTCTTAAGAATTCACACATTTTCGTGTTTGTTTACTTTGGAGTTAAGATAAAATTTACGAGACTATTGATCTGATCTACAATTTGATCATGATCAAGCGCCGCCGGTGGCAGCAACAACGGATGCATGAACGCTTATACAAACAAACAAAAATTATGCACATGAGATGTACATAAAGGGTTCAGTGACTGTTGCGAAAATTTCACATAAGCAAATATACTTTTGAGTATATTCATAATTTTCATTTGACGAAATTACCCGAAATTACGTTGTAAAGTGCAATTTTGATGAACAATAAAGAAATAGATAATTTTATGTTTTTTTTTTTTAATTTTTTTTTGCAGTTTTTATATTTTAATTTTTTATTTTTTATTTTACGTGTTAAATTAAGTTTTAATCCGCTCTATATTGGGGCAACAGAAGATAAAATCAATTTTAGAGCTTTTGTCT